CCACGAAATTTTTCAGCAAGAGCCTGCCCATCTCGAAAGCAGCCCGCCCATTTTTGAGATGTCTCCTCCACTTCGTCCGCTGACCCCTTGTGGACCTCAATCCACCTGTCCCCGGTGCCTATGCTGCTCTGCAACTAATTCGTGAATTTTTGACCTTCGCCCGCCCACAACATCGACACAGCTCCGCACAGAATAGGCGCGTAAATCTCGCTTCAATAGCGGAGCTCCTGCACATTTTTACCATTCCATATTTCTGCGTATGGCTCCGCCGCCTAGCCGCACGCTCCGCCTACAACGGCTGTGTGCCGCATCAAACAGTGATCCCTCCTGACCATCCACTTCCGTGTTTTACAGAACTTTTGTCTGTCTCCGCCCACCTCGGGCAGGCTCCGCCCACAACATGTGTGCCTCACATTTCTTAACGGCGACCCTTTGCTGACCTTAATCCACTTTTTTTTCCGGTCCCTGGAGTGCTCTGGAAGCTGTTTTGTTATGATAACTGCTGTTTAACGCCGCAGTACGCGTTCCGAATGTTATCACAAGAATGCTGAGTTGTGGGCAAAAGTCGTGCCCCAGGCGGGAGTCGAACCGCCGTCCACTTTGCTGGCTGGCTCGCCGCCTGCCGCAGCTCCGGCCTACAACGGGGCGGCTGTGCCTCCGCCTACAACGGCTGTGATCCTCCTGACCATGTCAATTCCAAATTTTATAGGACTTATTGTCTGTCTCCGCCCACCTCGGACAGGGTCCGCCCGCAACATGTGTGCCTCACCTTAACGGCGACCCTTTGGTAACCTTGGTCCACCTTTTTTTCCGGCTCTGGAACCGTTTACACACCGTTTTGTCTGTCTCCGCCCACCTCGGGCTGGCACCGCCCACAACATGTGTGTCCACACTTTTTACTGGCGACCCTTTGCTGACCTTAGTCCACTTTCTACCGGTCCGTGTAGTGCTCTGGAACCGTTTTACAGACCTCTTTGTCTGTCTCGGCCTACCCCTCAAACGACCACACCGCCCCCCACACCACATATCGCCCCTGCCCCACATTTCTCAATCGGCGACCCGTTTGACTGACGGTGACTGCTCTTGCTAAGAGCGCAGACAAAGGCATTCGCAGACCAGTTTCTTTGAGACAGAGTTTTCCCAACTAGGGAACGGGTCAATTTACCTGAACGACTCCTTTACCGCCTTGATCCCTCAACTCAATCATCAGCAAAGCATTAAGGCCAGGTACGGCCCCGTCGAGAGCCTGTTTGCCACATCCGAGAGCGTCCATAAATGCCATCAACAGCCAGCTTTGCTAGAATTGTTATTTTTTCGCATTTTCTATGAGATTTCCGAGAACGGTAAAAATACCGCGGAATAGGCGATGAATTTCCGTTTTGCAATTTTTTGTGACGTCTCCCATTCAGCCCAGTGGCTCCTGATTATGCCGAGAATCTTCTTCAAAAGTGACCCTTGTTTCAACTGTAGAATCTCCGGGTCGTGGTAGTCGTTCGCTCCAACGATGAAGCTATACGTCTGAAGTAAGAACAGTTTTTTACAGCAAATTTGAGAGTTGCTATTTGCGACTGTGGGAAACGTGTTCCGGACACTTTTTATCCTTGGGCTGCGTTCATACTTTGCGGCATCCCAGTGTGCACCTGGCTGTTCCATTCCGATCCCATTCCGATCGTCAGGCAGCGTGAGTGACTAGGAAAGTATAGATATTGATCTAACGTCTGCCAGCGTTTACAAGGTCTGCCTGCGTCCACCAGCGACCAGCAGCGTCTCCATAGCTAGGGGAAAGTATAGGTATCGATCTAGCGTCTGCCAGCGTTAACCAGCGTCCACCAGCGATCGGGAGCAGAGAGTATGGGGAAGAAGGAGGGTAGGAGACAGCTCAATTAGGCGTCGTGAAATTCCGGCTTGTGCATCCATCATACTACTGCACAATACATTAATACTGCATAATTCTGTGCTTTAGCAGTTGTGCGGTGCGGTTGCACACGCCGCAATTTCACGACGCCTAATCCAGCTGTTTGCTACCCTCCTACTTCCCCATACTCTCCACTCCGGTCGCTGGTGAACGCTGGCAGATGCTAGATCGATACCTACACTTCCTTAGCCCTCGAGACGCTGCTGTTCGCTGGCAAATGCTGGTAGACGCTGGCAGACGCTAGCAAACGCTGGCAAACGCTAG